GTTTGTATTAATTAACATGTTATATTATTAGAGATTTGTTTTAGTTATATAATGTAATGTTATAGTTGACTAATTTTTCAAGATGTTTTTTTAGTCATTTTAATTTTTTATCTATCTTATCAACTAATTTTTATTAAACATGATATATTAATCAGCTAGATCATCAACTAATTTACCAGACATAATCTTAGGTTGATTATGTTCTCTGTATTGGAACTTTGATTTTATTATAAACATTTAAATTATAAATATTATAAATGCAATTAATTATTTGTGTCAAGATATGGTTTTAAAAAAACACATAAAATAATTGAAATGGCATTATTTTTGCTTTTGGTACACACAACAAAATAAACAAACGTCTAAAATTCTATTAATTAGAGTTGGTTCACATGAGAATTGATTGTTTTTCGTGAGATCCGTCTTGAAACTTCAAAACAAATTATTGTGAAGATAAAAAAAATCCAAACCTTCACAGCAAAAAAACTGTGAAGTTTATTTTTATAGTGTTTTAATATAAAGTTTTAAGTGTAAAAAAATGGTTTCACGAATTTTACAAAACTAGACTGGTATAGGTGATTTCAATTTCTATTAATCATATAAAATGAAAAAGAGGAATTAGTGGAAATAAGTCGTATGTCTTATCCATAATCCGAATAGGATCCTATTCAGCAATCATTAATTCCTTATCTTATTTATGTATGAACAGATAAATAACAGAGAGGGATCGAACATTCTGAATTGTGAAGGTGGTTATAATTGTTTCGTTGGATTTCTCAAAATTCTATCTTGGATCCATCAGATGAAAACGATTTGGGAGAAAGGCGAAGATGATGGAAGCAGTGGTGGTTGTTGGCGGACGTTGCCGGAGACAAATACAAGAGTTATTGGAGGAGGAGAAAGTGGAAGTATGTTAGAAGTCGACGGAGGAACGAAGTCGATGAGGATCATACAAGAAGAGGAATGTAATTCATCGAGTAGTTCTTCGATCGGGGAAGACAGCGATGAAGAACGGGAGGGAGATGCTGAGAGTCGTTACAGATATGATCAGCATAACAACAATGGATCGTTCGATGATGCAATTCAAGCTTTGGAAGAAGCGCTGCCAATCAGGTTTACTTTCCTCTTCTATTTTTTAATTCAATTTATTTTGTGTGTGTTCCTAGCAATTGTGATTTGATCTCGTACTTCCGTGATGAATCGGAAATGTGCTTCAATTTGTCTTCTCTGATCCATTACAAATGTTTGTCAAAATTTCATCTGCCTTGGCTGATTTTAAGCATTCGTAATCAACGATGTATGAGCTAATTTAGATCAAACGAACTGTTCATCTAGTCTCTCTGATCCATTGGAACTATTCAATCAGTTTTTTTCTTCTCCAAGTAACCCTAAATGTTCAGGAAGCATTTAATTGACCATTTTCCATCGACACAGTTCAAATTCATGACCTTAGCTCATGAATCATGGCAGTAGCATACATTTTTAGGGACAATGAACCAATTTCCATGTCAAAAAACATACGTTTTCTTTTGATACCATCAAAATCCTGTGGTCATTTTGTTGGAACGTGGCATCTCTCCTTTGGAAAGCTAGACTACTTTCATTTGGTAAATCAAAACATCCTAATCCTTTTAGTCTAACCTTTTTAGATTGTACGTCCATAATCCATTAGTAACTTGAAAAGTGATAAAACCATAAGATCGTCAAACTCACAAATAAATTAACACCTCAAATGATTTTAAGTGGCGATTAGCATTAGAAGTTCATGATACGATAGTTGTGTATGTTGGTATACCCGTATATCCCCTCTTTACTTTAAAATGTGTGGTTTTGGAGATAACAAAACGACAAAAAATAGAACATTGTAGAACTTCCAATTTATGAATTACAACTAATTATAGCATTGTTGTCTTGTATTGAACATTTTCTCTTTGGAATTATTCTCTAACAAAAGATGAGATATGGAAATGACATGAACTGAGGGAGTTGGGCAAGCAAATACTCCAAGATAAGCAACAGATGTAGGTGGGGCAATGTAGTAATTGCGAACTACAACTACTTACAGTCTTATTGTCTTCTATTTATCATTTATCCTTTAAGATTTGTCTTAACCAAAGAAGATATGAAATTGAATTGAATTGAGAGAGTTGGGTAAGTAGAGGACTCCAAGATAAGCAATAGGTGTAGTTGGGGCATTGTAGTGATTAATGTGCACAGCTGCAACTTCTCTTGTGTAGGTTAAAATACAAACATAAGTGCACATGGTACAATTTGGACCACACTTTTAAATTGTTCACTCAGGCTGATGAAGAGTTAGGTGGGAGAATTTCTATTTAGTTTTTAGTGGATAAAGAGATATACCAATTAATTGATCAATGGTTCAAAGTTTGGGAATGTTTATAGTTCATTATACGAAGAATATTCATTTTTATTTTGAGCCATTAATGTGATTTATAAGCTCAAAATGACAAAATGGAGTCAGAATATGATAATCATCCTTGTCTTTGTTAATGTTTTAGGGTTCGTTTACCAAACGCTTACTCGGGTAAGTGAACACCAAGTCACATTACCTATTATCTTACCGGATGAATAACATGGTAAGGACCAAGAGTCTTACCCTGTAAGTGAGGGTCACGACTCTTACCATGGTAACTCGGTAAGCGCTTACCGGGTAAATTATTGCAAACGATACCGTTTTTGGTGGACTAAAATCTTACCCAGTAAGTAAATGATAGTGTTAATTTTACCCGAAAGCGCTTACTGGGTAAGTGTTTGGTAAACGGCCCTTAATGTGAATTCATGATATAATTTAGGTATTTGGACTTATATTGTATTTTGCTGAAAAATAGGGAATGAAAATATTTGATGATAATTTTTTTTTGGATTTAGTCGTGCTTAAATGTTTAGGGTACTCTTCAGCACCTGTTATGACTTCTGTCCATTTGTGACCTTTCAAAAGTCACTTTGTACGTAGCTTTGAACATCACAAACTGTATTGATTGAGTCCTAAAAGAACTTACATAGCGTTAAGTGTTTGTAATGAGCTTGAGGGATTGTTAGTGTTCACTTGTATCTGTAGTATTTATAAAAGCATATTAAAACTAATCGAACAATAACCGGCCATAACAAATTTGATGTGGGCTTTGTACAGAAAAGGGATATCGACGTTCTACAATGGCAAATCAAAATCGTTCACGAGCCTAGCAGATGTGTGGCCCTCCACAACATCTTCCATACAAGACATTGCAAAACCAGAAAATGCCTACACAAGAAAACGAAGAAATCTTGGAGCTTTCAAACTATCAAACATAAACACGGGAAGGATATCGAAGAAACCCAAGACCACGACGTTGCTTTTTACTTCCGATAGAGAAAAACCCAACTTTAACCAACACGCTAAACAATCTCAAATCAAAAGACCTCTGCCATTGAGATCATTTTCGATGGTTAACTTGCATCATTACAATTCCTCCAAGATCGGCAATTGTTAGCCTGAACTTGGGTCGAAAATTGTTTGGTAGAGACATCTAACTTGTGCAGTCTTCTGAAACACCAACATAATTGTTGTTAATTAAGCGATTGAATCGTACCACATATTATTCGGTAAATTATCAAAGATTTAATGATGTTTCTTGTGAAGTGCCAAAATTCGCTTTCATCAATTGGGGAAAAACATCAAAGGTGACGGATCTTATTACTTGCTGTAAAGGAAAACGAAAGAGTTCTTACGAACTCGGATCAATACAATTAACATGTTTGTAATTATTTCAATGAATATACATAAATTAACATAAAGTTTCTTTTAGAAGCTTAATGAATTAAGTCATTTTATATATTATTAAGGCATTATCAAATAGTCATATATAGCGGACTGAATAAGCTCTGAGTCTTATTAAACTCGTTAAGCTGTTAAAAAACATATCCTAAAAGTATGTAGAATGAAGAGTTTATAAAGGTTTATGGACCGATACTTGCTAAATGCAAGGTCGGTCCTAAGATTTTTGATGCCCTATGCCAAAATAATAAAAAGTGCCCCTAAACCTATTTTTTTAAGCCAATGAAACAACAAAACTTGCAATTTTTTAAAGAGTTTAGAACTTATTCAAGCTAAGTATCTCATCCCCATGTTGATCTTTATTATTTATAATAAAAAAAATACCAAGGGGGGGAACATAAAAATCGAAACCCCGAATACAAAAATATAGAAAGATAAAGGGAAAAGTACAATAAAAACCAATGAACTTTCTTGTTTGGAATGATTAAGTCCTTGAACTTTTTTTTGGAACAAATAAGTCATTGAACTTTCCAAAACATGTTAAATAAGTCATTGAACAATTTTTTGGCACAAATAAGTCCTTGGACATTCCAAAATATGTTAAATAAGTTCTTAAACATTCCAAAAAATGTTAAATAAGTCATTGGACAATTTTTGGAACAAATAAGTCCTTGAACATTTCAAAAAATGTTAAATAAGTCCTTGGACAATTTTTGGAACAAATAAGTCCTTGAACAATCCAAAACATGTTAAATAACTTCTTGAACTTTTATAAAACATGTTGGATACATTCTAATGACTTGTACAACTAGTTAAAATGGTAATTATTTTTTTGTAAATGTAAGTACTTTTTTGTTATATTTGTTTAATTTTATAGATCTAAATACTTTTTGGTTCAAAATATATTTAGGGGCTTAATCGTTCAAAATATGAATGTTCATTGTGTTTTTTTCC